GCAGGATTTTTTTTTTCTGATTTGTTGGTACATTTTATCTGTTACATTTGGGCTGTATGCAATTTTTTTCTTCCAACAAGCGCTTGCAGGAAATTTTTTTTCAAAATCACCCACTCCCCCCCCCTCAAAAGTTAAATGGTTGGCCCTAAGAAGCCATGATCAATGATGCCGATTGCGCGAAATAAAAATTCATTTTAAATCATGAATGAAAACTATTGGGTAGATATTATTTATGTCGTAGTCTTCGACTTAAATAAATGACAGTACAACAAAAAATTAAAAAGAAAATAAAGCATTACAATTACAAGGAAATAAGCAAAAAAAAGAGGAGAAGGTCATACCCAGCCATTATGACCAAGCAAGTTTAGTCAATAAAGGATTAGTTATTTAGCAAAGAAAGTACGCAATGGAATTTCCAAACAAAGTGCTGTCCAAGGATGCGTTGTGACCATCTCGAGTTTTAAAAGAGCACTTAAGACGTACTTGTTTACTAAATATATTAATAACAGACCATTATTTCTATATATTTATATATATTGCTTTAGTTTTAATGTTTCTTTTTTAATCGTTGTTAATTTTAGCTATGTTTATGTAACATACAATAGGATATGGTTGTAAATTTGTAAATATTTATTAATAATGTTTTTCATATGATTGTTAAGCGCCTTGAGCAAAGGATATGAGTGCTATACAAATAGTTATTCCTGCAGCAGTAATAATTTGCCCAGATGTTACGAAGAAATCAATCGAAAAGGCGAGGATCACGACTTTCATTTGCAGGATCAATCCCGTCGACCTGAGTGCGTACAATGGGTCAATAACAACACTTGATTCAGTTCTGGCTATTTTTTAGATCGGTTTTTTGGCTTTGGGGTCGAAAAAATTCGGTTTTTCGGTTTTGCTGTTCATTGTGGTTTGCTGATTTTCCTTTTTTTAACATTTGATTTTCGGTTTTCGCCAAAAATATCAACGGGTTTTTAGCGGATTTGGTATGCGATGTGGTTTTCGGCTTTTCCTATTTGGGTTCCGGTTTCTCTTTTGTGCTCTACTTGTCACCACTGTGTGTCACTGTGCGGTTTTGCACGCGGTTTTCGGTTTTCGGTTTTGACCGAATTTTTTTTTAGCGGTTTTTTGAGGATTTTTCTACAGTTCTGCGGTTTCCAATAGACCCCAATGCCCGCCTCCTTCAACTTGTCTGCTCACGAATCTAAACATATGATAAGGCACATCCCTAAGGGTCGCAAATCAAAACCCAAAGCAAAAAGTGCAGCCAATAAGAACAAAAGAGACATCACAAAGAGCCAATAATAACTCAAAGTCACAATATGCAAACTGCTTAAAGCGCGGGAAAACACGACTTGCGAAGTTCCGTTTGGCTTTAATTCTTCCTTTAAGGCGTTGAGAGGTTGTTGCGATTTTTTCCAACCGATCCCTTAGCTTAGTAAAGTAAAAACCAATGCAGTCCTAGACTTCTTTCGACGTCCAATTAAAATTAATTATTTTATTTTATTTATTTATTTCAGAGTGGTCACATAAACAAATGGAATAGAATGGTGCGAGAAGAGCCAGATTTGCCAACCAGGATCATGTCCGTGGCTCAAGATAAAGCATTTGAACAAAAGAGCATATATGAACCTCTTTATAACAGACACGATGAAGATGGAGACAGTAATGAGGATGACGATAACGAAGGAGATCAAATACCCAAAATCAGGATTGGCATCTGCGCCATGGGTAAAAAGGTGAAATTCAGAGAAAAATGGTCGTGACGAATGAATAACACCTTTCTTCATTTGGCCTGCTTGCAGACAGTAGTTTGTGTTTTCAAGCGCAACATTCAGCATCACTTCCCCCCTCCCTCTCGCTTTGTCACTCGTCTCGAATCTTCCACCCGTCCAACACGGGGACCGAATATTCGCCGCGCTGAATCTCGCGCTTAAAAACACAAACTACCGCCTGCAAGCTGGCTACTCTTCATTCAACGACCGAACACAAAATAATACTATATTCATTCTTAATCTTACATTCTATTTACGCCAAAGCTCAAACACGTTTTGTAGCTGTTTTGTCAAACACGGTTTGAAATTCTTTTCTTCATCGAAGCTGCTTAAACTGATGTTTGTTTACTTCAAATTTAGCACAATGAGCATAATAGTTGATGATTACTTAAACCCTATGTCGAATTCAGTCTTTCAGTTTTCCATGGCTGATTTTTATTCAGCTAAAACTGGTTTAACTAAAAATGCATAGCTGGTATGAATGGGGCATTAGTCTTTCTCGTTTGTCCGGACCAGAATTAGAGAGTTTCAGTTAAATCTTCCTGTAATGCACTGCTGCAATGCTAAATTTACAAACTTCCTCGCCTGCGTTCTACATGTTCAGCGGAGCGCGACTGTAAAACGCGGGAAATTCGGGTTCCTTACGCTACCCGATCCAAACCTCCCTCGGTTTTCGTTCTGCCGCCATTAAAGCGCCGTTTACCAACGCACTTCACTGGAAGAGGGTTACAAACTTCTCAGAGGAACCTGGAAGACAGCAAACATTCCAAAAGATTAACAGCGTACCCTATGCAGCGTACCTAAACATTTTCATGGTGAGATTTCCTCTTCCTTTTCAGACAAGAGCTCAACCGATGCAAGAGATCTTGGGTCGAATGTCAGCATTTGACTGTGTAGACATCTTTTTGTTTCCTGATGACATTATCCTGAATATGCCAGTGGAGGACTGGCCCATCTGTGACTGTCTGATTTCATTTTATTCGAGTGGATTTCCACTTGAGAAAGCCATTGAGTATACCAAGCTAAGGAAACCATTTAGCCTTAATGATCTGGAAATGCAGTATGCTTTAATGGACAGGTTGGTAGAACGTTAAGCTGGCCAAACGAGCAATACGGTCAAAATTTGCTCCAAGAGCTCTTCTGAGAATTCCATTTTTCGTGTTTGTGGACGTGATTGTGAAAAGTTGATCAGATATCAGAGATCTAGAGTTCCGTTTAAATCACGCGAGGTCGCAGAAGACTTTACCCTCGCTGTAGCTAGTCTACATCTGCACCCATAATTTTTAGGTCGTTATTATTTTAATAGTTTTTCCTTTTTCCTAAATAATTAGATATATGGTTTAAAATTGTAAATAATTGCTATCACTATTATTACACGAAGTGGGCCAATTTTTATCATAATTTTTGTAAATACTTGTAGTGATTATAGTGAATAAAGGTTTTGTTTTTTTAAAGTTGATCAGACAATACTTCAAAACTCAGCGTTACACAAAAACTTCGTTACGAACCTACCATGGAAGAAACAAAGCGTAAAGCTTTTACTCCTGGAGGAATCATGCTAAGAAGTCTCTCTCCTTATTAGGCGTTTTGTTGTGTAGTATCGCTGAGTATTTTTACGAGTTGTGCCTTATTCTGACAGGCCCGTAGGGCGAGTCAAATTACAAACAACGAGTAAAATTACAAAGCAGTACTACACACCCAAACGTTTAATAAGTTATTTATTATCCAACTGCCTTTATTTCTGCCAAGTGTTTCTCTTCATTGCCGATAGGAAAAGCAAAACGGGTACAGAAATGTTGCGCGTGCAGCCGACTGGTTAAACAGGTTTTTAACAGTACAAAATAGCCAACTGTACAATATCGCAGGATATTTGTACTCTACTCGCACGTTATTTGTACTCTACTTTGTGCGGTTGGATAATAAAGGTGTATATTGTTCAGAATCCCCCACAAGTGTTATTGACTAAAAAAGCAGTATCTTTTTGGTTCCGTGTTCTACATAGGAAAATGTACGGCCTAAAAGGTCAAACTCACAAAACCCTTTACTTCTTTGTAGAACGACAATGTATAGCCTTCTAGAAAGTGCAGGTATCGAAACACCAAGACACGCAATATTGCGACGAGATGACGATGGAAATCCTAGCAACGCGAAATTTGTCGAACTGGACGATTCGGTGCAGATTGGTGACATGATATTCCATAAGCCTTTTGTAGAGAAACCAGTCGATGCGGAAGACCATAATGTGTACATCTATTTCCCTTCGAGAATTGGTGGCGGGAGCCAAAGATTGTTCCGCAAGGTCGGGAACAGAAGCAGCGTGTACTCGCCTGAAAGCTCGGTGAGGAAAAAGGGTTCATACATCTACGAGGACTTTGTAGTCACCGATGGAGTGGACTTAAAGGTAAAAAATAGCATTTGTCAGTGTTGAATCTATGACCCTGAATAATTCGCATTTCAATTCCATGTTGCTTTGCGTCTGCTTAAAAATAGATTACAGATGACGTTAAAATGTGGTAAGAGCAAAAAAGTCGGCACACGAGGCGCAGCCGACTGTGTCATTCATGTTCTTGTCCCATTTTGTCGTCATCTGTTAGAGATTAAATAATTACTGAAAAGTCACACGGCAATTTGGAATCTATTTTTTTATCAACCTCGTTCCCAGGGTCCCAGGTTCCCAAATTGTGTTTTTCTTTTTAGATAATAAAGAGGAAACTTTTGTCAGTGGTGACGTCATCTATGCGTGTGTCCTCCTATAGACTATCGATAAGAGGCAATGGTAATGCGTGTATAATTCCGCTTATTGTATAATGCTCTCTTCCACCCAGGTGTATACAGTGGGTCCAGAGTATGCTCATGCTGAAGCACGCAAGTCTCCTTCACTTGATGGAAAAGTTGAACGAGACAGTGAAGGAAAAGAGATACGTTACCCTGTTATACTTAACCAATGTGAGAAAGAGATGGCGAACAAAGTTTGCAAGATGTTTAAGGTAAGATGTGATGATACTCATTTTGATGATGCTCATTGCGCGTATTTTTCCTCGCCCGAATGGGACTCAGAAAAATACAACGCAACTCGCAAAACGTCTGCGCGTAATAAAGTGTCTTTCTTTCCTCTCACTCAGCAAACTGTTTGTGGATGTGACTTTTTGCGCACTCATGAAAAGTCATATGTTTGTGACGTAAATGGCTTCAGTTTCGTCAAGTCTTCAAAGAAGTATTACGATGATGCTGCTCAAGTGTTGATTGACCTGATTGCACACAGACTTGCCCCGCGGTTGTATAAAACTTACAATTTGTCTGCGCCTGAGCAGATCCGGAAGGTTGAAGTTACGGAAGGCACCAAGTTAGAACTCAGGTGTGTAGTGGGTATCATCAGACATGGCGATCGAACTCCCAAACAGAAAATGAAGATGGAAGTGCGACATCCAAGGTGAGAACATCTTTGATCATCTAATGGAAGTCTTGTCAACGCAACGCCTTGCGTGACGTGACAGAGAGGGGCTGCGAAGGAGGGTAATGCTTTCCCAATATGTTTTATTATCATTTGAAGCTACAAGTGGTCATTCAATTATTTCATAAGGCTCTTAGAAGTTTATTTAGTGTTGAATGATCACTTTGAATCCATCATGATCTGTCGGCTGTTGGGAAAGCTCCTATACTGAGTCAGCCATCTTTTAGTGCCAGTAAGAACTTATACTCTGCAAAATTATAACTTTGCTTCTTGTGGTGAAATGCAAGTTATTACAAGTCGAATTCTCCCATTACTGTAGATCTTTGTCCCGAGTAACGATCCCAGACAAACTTGCGCGGCGAACTCGACCCACTCCCCCACTCGTTTTTGAAATGAGAAATTCTGTCTATCCACCGTTTTTTCCCCAAGGCTCGAAGCCTCTGCGTTAAAAACTCTTCATGGAGGCCAATTTACATTATAAACTCAGTTGATAAACTCAAATGATCGTTTTTTGCCCCTCACCAACGCATCACCACAGTCTCTTTAGAAACGTATACCTCCCCCTCGCCTTATGGTTGCGTTTTAAGAGCTAGAGCTAAAGTTCATGAACGAGAACAATGTCCTAGATGATTTTAATGGCATCTTGCTCTTGATATCCATTCACCCTGACTCAAAGTGCTGCAAGCTGACTTAAATGTGTATCTATAACGTGCGAGATACTTCGTTCATCTTTCGAGAAAACATCTTTAAACGACTGGATGATTCTTCTCTGGCCATGGGGAACCTGAAAAAGTTTATATAAGCAACTCGTTCTTTTCAAAGTCAGCTGAAATCCGTTTTAATTTCATTTTCTTTCTATTAGTAAACAATATAGCAAGAGTTGTACCTTTTCCCGGCAGGTTTATCGAGTTGTTTAAGAAGTACGACGGTTTTGATAAGGAAGCGCCGCTTAAGTTGAAGAGACCAACTCAGTTAAAGGAAGTACTAAATATCGCCAGAGACTTGGAAGCCGACGTCAAGAAAGGAAAGCCATTGTTTGAAAACCCTAACAAAATCCATCAGCTAAAAGCTGTACTTGAAATGTAAGTTTAAATAGTACAATTTTCCTTTGTTGTAATGCCATCAAAATAGTCCATTTAACGGTAAGATTGTGAGATCGAGATCTCTATCGCTTGCTGTTTGTTGAGGGTAGAGCCACAATTAACAATTACGCGTAGAATTCGAATGCTAAATCTGTAAACAGCTGCTTATATGCCCTGGGCTTGCACAACTTCTAAGGGGTCTTATTGCTTTAAACGGGGGGGGGGCTTATATCCGTGGGGGGTTTATAAGTGGGGGGCGTAGAAATTTACGGCAAACTTATTTTTTGGAGTACAGATCTATTACACGTTAAAAAGTTAACAAAAGTCATGTTTTTGTTTTATCCTGCCGGTTTACAACCGCAAACTGTCAGGCTGCTCAATTTACCCACTTTCTCTTAGTGGATGAACGCCCAACATAGCGATATAAACCCAATGAAATCCTGGTTAATTTTGGACGCTCAGTTGAAAATTCCTATATCAGCCAATCGCCGCTTGCTTGATGGCATACCATGTATTTTCAACTTCAAATATTTTGACCCTTCGTTATAGCTTACTTGACTGATCGATTAAGGCATTCACTGATCTTTTTTTCAAGGTATGGAAATTTTTCTGGCATCAATGAAAAAATTCAGTTTAAGTATCTAGGGAAGCCGCGCGATAGAAAAGACAGTGAGATCCGGAAATCTAAATACAAGAAGGGTGAGAGAGAAGCAGAAAGAAGAGAAAGAAGAGACACCCAAACTGAAACAAGAAAGGAATCAAAGGAAAACGAGGCCCAAGAAGACAACGAACATTCCTTGCTCTTGATCCTAAAATGGGGCGGAGAATTGACGATGATGGGAAAAGACCAAGCACTGGAGCTAGGTCGTGCTTTTAGGTATTCTAGACTACGACCTGTCCCTCCTTTTCGGTGAAGTCCGGCACGCGAGTGAAAAAAAATCAGTGAAAAGAAATTGATGTTAGCTCCTCA